ACGTTCTTACACATACTAGTTCCTCATACAACACCGATACTTGTGGCTTTGGATGAGTAAGTTGGAAGTGTTATGGACTTTAAGTAGTTGTGAAACTTTCGCTGTTCTTCTGGGCATCATCATCATTTACTTTAAAAGCAACTGCGTCACGAAGTACGTGCTGATAATGTTGTTTAAAAGAACAGTGAAATCTTTACGAGTGAAACATCTAACTCAGAGACCATAACATTTCCAGAATTTTATTATAATTGTTTACAATTCAGTCAAGCGATAAGTAATAGGTTTTTAATCTGCAAACATATTATCGTTAGATAAATATAAATATAAAATAGTAGGGTTAATTATGCTTGATGTTTATTATTAATATTGACACTCCATGTTTTCTCTTTATTGAAATTTCGAAATGACGTGACTAATAGCAAAAACTATACCGGTTGAGAAAGTTCGTGGTTATTATAATTCAGTAGCCTGATAGAAGGAAATCTTACTGTATTTCAATATTGAAATGCAGGTACAGATAGCTGATGAGTACTAAATTTTCAAATTCACTGTTATTCTCATTTTAAGAAAATATATTTCTATCACTAATTTACGATGATGAGAACAAATATATAAAAAAAATGATGTGACATAGAAAGATATGTAGATTCGCTTATTTTCAAATCCACTTAAATAAAGGTTGAAAAGGATTTACATGACAGAAGTGCCTTCTACTTTATGTTACTCTATCCCTTTCGCTTTTCCTGCCTTTTTGATTGTTAATTGACAGTTTTTCATTAGTGATGAAATCCTGAGGATTACAAAACTAGTGGGACAATAACATCTCGAAATATTTACTTGTTTGGATTACATCTAGTGTTTTAGATAACCTTTAAACCATTGATATTGTTCGTTTCTCAACTCTATTCATTTATTTTTCTTGTAAAAAATTCTAATTCATTTTATGTCACAATAAATTGGAGTGTTGTGTTTTCCTTACTAGAAGTACATTTTGCCGATAAATGATTTTAAGAGCTGTAATGACTTTGAAACCATTAAGAATTAAGCAAAATGACATTTTATGTAACTAATTAGTTTTCTTTGTGTATGTGCACCGTTTATTTTTACAATGGATATTACTCCCCACTAAGTTCGAGTAGCGAATTGATTACCAATATAGAAATTTTATGTAAAAAAACATCTCCAGGTTATTTTATAGAAATCTGATTTACTTACCTTTTAATTGATTAAAATCATCATTCTACTTGAGAAAAATTAACGTCTCGTAATTCAAATTTTATCATAGGTGAAGAAACAATATCTACCTTCACTCATCGTTTTCAAACTTTGAAAACAAATTCAGTTAAATCAAATTAGATAAATGAACAAGTATTCTCTCTAAGAATCAATAATTAAACGTTTGATTAAATTTCCCATTTGAATGATGAGGTCATAGTTTGTTTTGTTTTTCAATTAAATGGACAAATTAAAATACGTGGAATTTAGCAAACTATTGAATCTTAATTATTATTTTGTTTACTTCTTAAATGATTTTGTTTACTATTCCTTTTATCATTACATTTTATAGAGTATGCATAACTCATGAACACAAATGTTGTTTGTTTTCTATTAAAATCGATTAATGGATAAATTCTCCAAAGTTTCAACAACAAAAAGTTAAACTTAGAATTTAATAAAAACATTTATTCTATGACCTACTTTCTGTTGGTTTATTCAATATTTAAACGACAATGAAACCCACAGTTTTAATTGATCATTTTATTCACTGTCATTGAATTTGATTAATTGTTGTATATTTACTAATTAATTTTTACTTCATTTTACACTAAATAGTTAGTCAATTTTGTAGGTGGAAAATAACGTAAAAACTTAATAAGTAAAGATGGTTAGTGGCTATCAGTGGAATCCATTTTGACGCGCGTTTCGTCTTATTTGGGACTCGTCAGCTGGCTACCAGGACTCAGTAGCTAAGTAGATAATGCGATAGCGTTTGAAGTGAATAGTACTGGGTTCGAGTCCCAGAGTGAGCATCAACTTTAAGATGCAGATATATCCAGCTGACGAGTCCTAAATAGGATGAGACGCGAGTCCTGGATTCCACTGATAGCCACTATCGATCTTTGCTTAGAATGCTTGTGAATTAAGGTAATATCAAGGCAGTCCGCTCACGATGCATGTATGCCAATGAAAGACTGATCAATGGAAGTCCTAAATAACAATAGGAAGGTACACGTAAACTACACCAAGTGAATGAAAGCTGAATATTTACTCATAAGAAATCTTTGTTTAGTATAAACTAATTGATTATTCCCATTTGGTAACAAATGTTATTCAATTTATACCATTTTTGTAGTGAAAATAATATTTTCAAATTCCATGATTCTACACAAATTTTCTTATCATCAACTGTTAAAATAGATTAAATATGTTTTAAAATCTGGTCTAATGATGAAATGATTTTCGAAATAAACTCTTAAAAAATAAGCCAATTACATATTATGAACATTTGTATGGCACGAATACATTATCAGATGTTCTTTTGAATAGATAGTCTATGTATTTCAAGAAAGAAAGAAAAGATTGATTGTAATTATTCAACAAAAGATGTGTTAATAAGTACATATTACAAATAAAACTGTTACTTTGTAATGAACGAGAACACAAGTGGGGATAATCAAATGTATTTAAACAGAAAATTACAGAACATCCTAGTAAAATCTAAGAACCATATAGTAAATACTTCATTTGCAAAATGTCAGTCAATCGTCTCAGACTTCATTGTTCTTTCGTTTCCACAGCAATCATTCTCTGTTCGCGTTCTCTTTGCTTCGATCCTCTTAACCTTCTGCCTGCAAAAATTTCACTTTCGATTGATGACACATACTACTTATATCTGTCGATATCAGTAGGACACACCACACTTACCTATTTTAATCTTATAAGCTATCATATTTATTTATGAGGATTATGAAAAATAAAATTCACCTACTCCTGTCAATTACATCTTTAATTTTTCTCTTAAGATATATATGTATATAATAGGTCGCCTTAAATTTCCTTAGGAAGCTGATTTTGAGTAAAAACATTTTGTCATTCAGTGAATCTAGTTGCATGTCTTAAAAACGAATTAACCACTTCCTATGGGAAAAAAATACTTCAACTTAATTTGTATCAGATGTGAACTAAATCAAAAGTAACAAAATTTATAATGATTCCTCTACTGTGTTTGTTAAAGAAATTCTTTGAAACGTGCAATAGAAGTATTCTGGCACTGCCAGCCATTCCATTATTTACACTCGGTATTGACATGCACTGATCATATTATAAGATATGGTTTATATTATAAGACCCTTAATTAATGATATCAGCAAGTTGTCTGCATTACCAGTCGGTACAGTAGTTATGATTATTTTAGAAGTTAAGATCGTGGAAGATAAAACTAATAACTAAGATTGCTTATTGTTCATGTTACAGTAACGCAATCTATTCAGGAGATCTGATGTATAATGTAACGGCTTACAAATGATATTGTCAAAAAACATTGATATAAAATACATGTAGTATTTTACTAATTTATCATTCGAACGGTGGCTACAGATTCATGTATAAACATTCGATTGTTAGAATGTGTTTGTCAATATTATTCTGTGAAGTAATATGTATTTGTAAAGTTTAAACTAATAAATCTAACCGGTTCAGTTATCCAATTTTCGGAACATACTATAAGAGTTCACAAAACGCCACATAATTATGATTCGTAATATAATATGTTCATTAGTCACAGTCACCTAGAGTAAATTCTGACACCCAATTACTTGTTAGGCTGAGTACATTGATCTATAAATCCATCAATCTTCATCTTTATCAATTACCATTGAATATCTCTGAAAGACATGTTATAATTTATATTATTTGATATGCATTTCATGTTACTACATCGAAATAATAATTAAATCTGACTGAAACGTAAGTAAACCAATTGCTCCGAAGTAAAACATGCAATAAATGTTACAACATTCATTTCCATTATTGATATTTGAATAACAGAATTCATCGGGTACACAAATAATGTTTTTCTGACAGGTTGTTTGAATTCTTTTCCAACATAAATTTTTTAATTTATGATATCAAAATAAACCAAGAGAATTCTCATCAATAGTGCTTCTCACTAGTAGAGTTGAACTTGTTTAACTAACTGAGAATGTATGAAAACTTTGAGCCAGTCCTTACAGTATGTTTACTGAACTTCTACCATTTCGTGATCTGCTAACTTAAAATTTTATTTACTTATTACTGATAAGTGATCCTGTTTTAAAAATAACTGAGTACTTCATGACTGTAGTTAAATATTTATCGTTACGAGAGACAGTTCATGATACGAGTGTTTGTTAACAATACATATAGTAGTTTAAAAAGCTATACTTTGAAATGCATCATAGGTGTTTTGAATTACGTGTTAATAACTATGTAGCAATAAACAAATACTAGAAATGAATAGCTTTGAACGTCCTTGATATTGATGTTAACCCTAAACGTTTTACTGAACACAACACTAACCGCAGGCTTTCAGTCAGGCATCTGTACCAGATCTTGTTTCGATACGCTATGCAGTTCACTTTCAAAGATAACTAGTCAGTTTAATGATATATATTATACCTCATTCAAGTATTCAAATATAGTTTACTATCCCATTATCCTCAACTTGTGATTTTTATGGCTTTGAGCTCACTACGTTAAAAAACATTCGAACAGTGGTATTGCTAAATCCTACCTATCTCCTATCCTCCTCAAATATAATGAATATGAGTTGGTGAAATACAAAATACAATGACAAAACGTTTATATAAAACAAATTTAAGTGCAAACAATAATCAGTCCTTGAAATCTAGTATATCAGATACATTCTAGACTTGATGAAATTTTATTTTTGTGGTGTTGTGATTTTTTAAAACTTCAACTGAATCTAATTTCATTTGGTTTTTGATTCATTTTTAACTAAGATATTGATGAATGTCATGAAATGGAAAATGTGTGTAAATCAAATAATCCATATGCTCCAAGTCAAGCCTGTATAAATCTTATGGGCAGTTATCGATGTGTATCTGACGAGACTCCACCAAATTATGTGAAGCATAGACTTGGTAATGGATTCAGGTTAGTAATTTTGTAAAATAAATTTATTGCTTACTTAAATAGAAATAAAATTTATTGAGAATAGTATTTCAACTTTCGTACGGATTATGGTATCACAATGAACTCTTAATCCACTAAGAACTCAGGATGGTCTTGCAGAAGACCTACGTTTTATTAACCAAAAAAAAACAACAAGAGTTTAATCATTGGCCTATTTACAATTAGCAAGGAAAAGAAATTATCATCTTATAGGCAATGGACAATAAAGTTGACCTACTATGGATCAAATAGTACTTTTGTAAAATTTAATGTTTTACTTTAAAATGTCGTTTTTATGCATAAAGTATAGTTTTTTTATCAATAAAAAGATACTTTAAATATTCGTACTTTTCATGATGATTGTTTGGAAATTTGTGGTCAATCAACTTTGTTACAAAATCACTACAAATAACAGTAGAACACCAAAGAAAAAGTGAATTCATATACACTTTGGTGAATCTAAAGTTATCAATTTTAATTACGATATTCATTACATATTAACAGAGCAGTTTTAGAATTTAACAAGTTCACATTTAAATTGTATGGCACTTTTATACCCAAAATTATCAGTGAACAGTAATTAACTTATGTGGTTGTTTAACAGATATAGTTTTTTTAATCTTTTTGGTAGTCAGTACTAAATAATCATAAAATTGACATCTGGTGATCCTTGCCCCATATACTCCAGTACGGCCGAGAGTGGGGAGAGTTAGTTCTGCTTCTCGAAATGCTCTCACACAGCCACGTACATACAGCCACTGCCAAGGAAGTCCTGCTCACTGCCTTCTCGCGGCATTGCTGTTGTTTACGAAATCTAGAGGACGAAAAGCGAATGGCCGGCGATTTAACCGGGTTGGTGGACACGGAGGACCCACCTAAGGGAGTTGGAAAACCCTGATTCAAAACCAATGGTGCACATGGGTTATAGGATCCTGAGGGAACAAATGGCGTATGAACTTACTGTTGGTCACCGACTACCATGGGACTACATCTCCTGGCGTTGTTCCACTGCCTTGTGGATCAGACTTTTAGGTCAAAGGTTCCTGGTGTGGCCTCCTAAGACAACCACCTGCCTCAGTTCGGGCAACCGGGCAGTATCTCAGCCTTCACACAAATCGAACGATTTATATGGCGCATATCTATTTGGTGCCTCCTTGTACCAATGTTTATGTGTTTAAATAAATAAATATTTAATGTCAACTACTGAACTTCAACAAATCGTGTGTAACCTTTTTTTCTGACCTAAGTATATTAAAAAGTCAGCTCCTTTGACAAATGTAGACAGCGCAATGAAAACAACACTAACATGATATATTAGCCTAATGCATTTCAGACAATATAACCACACATTAAATCGCTGAGAAATAAAGAGCAAACTAAACAAACGGGAGCATAAGAATAATAGAAATATTAAGTGAAACAACATAAATCACATTATTCCCGATAATAAGATTAAAATCAATATAATCAAGGTAGATTAAATGTAACTATAAACAGTTCTTGAAACACACAGGATGGATTGAATTTCTATATAGGTCAGGTTTCAACAAATCTTTACATTTGCCCTGAATTACATATATACAACATCACAGCTAGGAAAAATCTTGTCATATGTATCAGCTATATATTTCTTACATATCAGAATGTTAAAAATGTTTACTGCAACAAATAAATCCAGGAATGTAAATCAAAACAATACAAATGTTATTACATTATCTGATATGTATTTCAGAATGTTATTTATACTTGATATATTGTTCATTAAAATGATGTCATATTTAGATTCATGTATTTTCTTGAATATTATTACTGTTACGTTGATATGCTACTTTTATGCTATTCGAAATGCAAGTTATATCTCAGATTGAGATATGATCATTAAGTGTACAAACATATCTACCCTTCGTGATTAACATTATAAGGTAATTGAAATCAATATCGTTTTAAATCAATATCATGTAATTATCAATTAACATCAGAAAATACGTGCTGTTTTTAATACCAAAATACGTGTGACATTCATTTTAAAACAATTACATTACTTCAAAAATTTTGTTCAGGTTAATTTTTAAAATATGATATTTCTTACATTTCAATCATCATTGAAACAAGGCGACAGATTACGTGTTTTGGACAAAGATCATTCAAAACCAAGAAGCAGAATATATAGATTACTTAAGATGGTGGAGATTTGTAGCTCAGGTGGATGATTTTGATGGAGTTTTGTTCTCTGAGCTGGGTGGTTTGGTCGTAGAGCTCTCATCGTTCTTCTGAACGACATCACCAGCACAAACTTCTGAAAGCTACACGACCAAACCATCCAACCTAGAGAACAAAACTCCATCATAACAGATTACTTAAAAATTATTGCTTACAGTCCTAATAAGACATTTGTCCCAATAAAGAGCAACTAGCCTTTTTTTACATAAATCAAGGTTTGGACTACTCGAAATTACTTTATAAACACCCTTCAATATTCAGTATAAATTCGGCTGATGAGACTGGTTTTGAAATACATCATACTTGAGTGCATTAAGTACACCGTATTCACCTTTTATTCCTTCAATGAATCAACCAAGAGAAATTAATTGCCGAAACTGCTGTGTTTTCTTATTTAGCATCCAACTAACCACTCTATTATGATATGTAACCACATACAATTCATACATAACCATTCAGTCAAAACAAATCTAAGAGAAAAACCTTTATTTAGAATGAACAGTTTGAACAAATGAAAAATAAGTTTTCTAAGCATTCGAGAGGACTGTATGATGGATGGATTAATCTACCTCTTCCTTTATATTTGTAGCTCAGTGAAAAAGTCCAAAACTATATTTCTCGTAGATTGTTTTAGATTTATTCATTGCTAATCGGCATCAATTTTCGACCCAGGTGTAAAAGTTCACATAGCTATCAACTGTTTATTCTTGTTTTATTTTGGTTACTTGATTACTTTAGTATTTTCTGCTGCTTGAGATCATATACTTATATACACATACAGTGAGGTAGTGAGAGAGGTTGTTCATTCCCCTACTCTTAATTATAGCACATGACTGAATTTAATTCTAACAAGCCTACGTTGCCTCACCAATCTTCATGTTATAATAGTAAATATCAATCAATTATTGTGATTATGAAGAATAATTCGTGACTATTTACTCATTTTATGATTTACCAACAATACAATTTACAGATGAGTTGACTGTACAGACATAATTAATGAGCTTGATAAGATAGTCAAAAAAAGTCTTACCGACCTGATATAATCTTAATAGACTACTACAACTAAAAGTTTATTATCATAAATATGCTTTCATACTTGTCATCTGAAATAATAATACGGTTGCTTTTTCTTGCTTTCACTAACATCATTTCTTATTTTGCTCTGTATCGGACTTATTATTGGATGTCGTATTGGAATGAACTAAAACTCACTTGGCATATTATTTCTTAATAAGATTTATTTTATTTCTCTTTTAGTATATCATACAGTAAATAATTAATACGATGTATAATGTATATGCCGCATTTTTTTATCGACAGCATTTCAGCAACTCATCACGTAATCTCAGATACCATAAGGCCAACAATAATAAAAATCAGTTTAGGGGTTGTGGGGATTGTTAGGTTTTTGATTGAGATCATGCACCGAAACGGCCGTCCAGTGTTTCCAGGTTTTCAATGGTGGTCTAACATCAATCGGTTCATGATCTCAATCAAAAAGTAATAAAAATAACAACTAGTTCCGATTACCAATCTTTATGTGACTTGCGAAATGTCAAGGTCATTATCATTAACTTGAAACAATAATAAATACATATATATATATATATATATATATATATATATATATATATATATAATATCTGACTTTCGCCTGTAGTTACTTATATATCATTTTGTGAAATTGACATGCATGAAAACCTTGACCCATTGACTTTTACTGTTTTTTTTTCAATATTGAAAGCAAACAATCGGTGAGATTAATAAGAATTAGGTTTAATAATATTTTTTTATAAAGCATTAGTGCTGTTTGAAACATTACAGAGAATAAGAACGAAATAATTCACCTGTTTCTTTCTGTTAGGTTATTTCCACTGCATTAGTTTTGAACTTGGTATGAACGAAGCCAAACTTCAATCAGGTATCATTAGCAATGTAAAAAATGAAGTTTCAAACAAAAATGAATCTTTTACCTCAGATAATCCTTTCTTGAATATGACCACATTTCAATATTAAAATCTTTTAATAGTAGACATGTCAGTGAAAATATTGTTTTAATCAAATATATATATATATATATATATATATATATATATATATATATATATATATATATATAAACATTTTCCATCCACTTTTTGTTTTAATAACGGAACATTAATGTCATCTAGATAGGATTTATATTCCTTAATTGGTTTCTATGTGGAGTGACTATATTTTTTGAAATACTATTACGCTAGAATGTCACTGTTATTATTAATGATAATACAATTTGTAATGGTTTGGATTATTAATGAAAGGTACTATGGAAAATAAGTTGTAGCACGATGACAGGAACCTAAAGTTTCGCACTTCAAACCTACTGAATAAAATAACATTAGTATAAATGTGAACAGTTGAAATGGTGCACAATTTGTGTACGGATTATTTCAAATAGATTCAGTTGATGATGATTTCCTTTGTATTCTGAAATTATTAATCTTAGTGACATTTTTCTCCACCATACTCTCTTTACTCAGTTGATATAAGGAATTTTTAAATCCACTGTCTTTCATTGTTTTTTCCTGAATATTATTATACAAACTTATGTGTAACCGGTCAATAGATCGATTATTTTGACGAAATAAAATCATCGAAGAATAATCTCAAAATGGATAAACCCAACAGGTAGCTGATTTTGCCTAGCGGTTTATAATAACGCAAAATAAAAGTCAATAAATCAAGTCCATTATAATAGATTAAATCAGGGATTAATGGGT